AGTTGTCTTTTGTTACTCTTTCCTAGTAGGGAATAAGGAAATGGAGTCCCTATATAATCCCTACATGGTAGTTTTCCAATATAGGGAGACCCCAATATAGACCCCAAAATACTATAATCCTTAATATAGGGCCTAGTATAGGGACCCAAAAAGGTACCCCTAATTTGGGAAACCCCCATATAATGCATTCCCGTCTTTCCTAGGAAGCATCAGTGAGCTCCAGACGCCCGAAAGAATCCTTGTCAAGGGCTCGCCAGGAAATTACATGGGCTATACAGAAGCCATAACCTTACTGGTTCTTAGTAGGGAATAAGGGAATATACTATATTGGGATTATATAGGGGTTATATTCCCTTTTACCATGCTTAGAACCAGTAAGCAACTCTGCCGCTCCTAGTTCGGGTTTCCTGTCTTAGGGACCCGAAGGTAGTTTCCACTAATTGGGGGATCCCAACATAGACCCAATAATGTGTTTGACGTTTTTCTTGGGACCCTCAAAAAGGTACTCCGAAGTTTGGCAAAGCCTATAAACCCTAAACCCCTACCCGACGTAATCCCTGTGAAGCTACCCTAAATCTTAGCACCGATCCACCTCTATCTGGTCCACCACAGAGGCTCCAGTCACCTGCCGTTTGATCCTAGGGGTTCCAAAAGGAGACCTGCCTGGTGTAGAATGTTATATAGAGGTCGTACACAAGGTTTTTACAGGAATAATGGACAAGAAAATCGAAGCTACTGTACTATATTTGAGGTTAAGGGTTGAGGGAGACTACCCCGGTAATGGAGAGTCAAGTCAAAAAGACAATGGAGATGAAATGGAAACTTACTGTAGATTGTTTTTCAGAAACGATGCTACTATTATTACTCTTATTACTACTATTGTTACTACCTCGTTGCCTCACAACAGATGGGCATCCTTTAGCTGCTCGTTTGCTCAAGGTTCATAGAGCGGACTTCAACTCGATTGCTTCAACTCAGTTCAGACAAGATGAGCCATAATCTAAACTCCTAGTATCCCCCTTCATTACCCCCTGTAGTAGTCCCCCTGTACAATCCCCTATATAAGCCCCTTTAAGGAGTTTTGACTAGAGCTCATGTATCAACGGCACCCTGCGAGTCAACGTACTCAACAGATTGGAGCCTGTTTTTTCTTGGATCAGCGTTGAACTTGATGGCTCTAAAGCCTTGTAAGCCCCCAAACACCGTAAGCATGCAACCACCAACACTTGTGAGCGCCTGTTTCTCAAACTTGTGGAGAAGCTCTGGCTCGTCCCCAATTTCTTCGTACAACCTGGAGATGGTAGCTACGCGTTGTATCCATTAGGAGGACCCCCCACCCTGTAATAGCGACTATAAGGGATAATAGGGATTATATTAGGGTCCTATTATATCCCATTATACCACTATTACAGGGAGGGGGGTCCTCCTAATGTATCCATTTCATGCCTCTGGTCCTGCATGTATGCTTCCCCTGTGAAGCTACAGGCCCCTAGATGATGGAACCTTCTAGAAGGATTCTCCACATGATCTGCTCACAAGCTGCTTCTCTTAGTGAAGTCTCAACTATCATGAGGTCCCCCATGTAGGAATCGAAGCAAGGGGCGACAAACATATCAAAACCCATAGTCGTTGCAATCCTCAAGCAAGGAAAATCAGAAGAAAAACACCAACCTTCTCCCAAATAAGAAGATAAACACACAACCTCATGATCTGCGAAACTCCTTCCTTGGCAGATATGGTCAGGGATCTGTGAGCTTTAGACTCTCAAAGCTATAGGCTGACTTCACCATGTATCTGTTTGGACCCGAGTTGATGCCCTTTGGAGGCTTGAGGAAAGCCTCAACAAAATAACAGATTCAGCGTCGTTTAGGTTTTTTTCTTTTTTAACCCCGGGGGCTTTTGATGCCTGGTTTAGGATTTAGGGCTTAGAGTTTAGGGTAAAATCTTCCGGCATTGTGGAACGAACGGAATTAGTGCTAGTTCCTGTCTTATTGAAGCTGATCTGACTTTGGCAGGACGTTTCCCTGAAAATTCATCGGGTTCTCCTGGGATCCGCCCTTTAGATTCTAAGAGTGACCTCACCCACCCCAAATGCATAGTATGACATGGGGGAAAAGCATTCAAGTTCTGAAGAGGATCATCCAATGGGGTACCTGAACTCTCAGCAACGGGACCTACAAGAAATCCATGAGCCCAATCACTAGCAGCCCACTTGAGCTATAGTCTGAACTCCTAGTATCCCCCACAGTAAGCCCTACAGTATTCCCGTACATAAATCCCTTTAAGGAGTTTAGACTACAGCTCACTCCAAGCCCAGCAACTTTGCAAATTTCTTGGTGTCATCCACCATGGCTTTGTAGTTCTGCTGCAACAGGCTCGACCTGCACTGCGCCGTCATATAATACCAATGATAATAAGGAGAACAATAATGCTAATAATAAAAAATATAAGAGCAACGCTAATTATAATAGTAGTAGCTACCCAAAACCGGCTAACCTGGAACCCTAGAAAGGACCCTTTCGAGACCATTGTTCTTTTACATGGGGGCTTGCTGCTGCTGCTGCTGCTGCTGCTGCTGCTGCTGCTGCTGCTGCTGTTGCATTGCAGGCACGGCTGTTTTCCTGCTTGCCGCTGCAATCTGTTGTCTCTGCATGCTCCGCGCCTGTTGGTACCATCGCAGCTTGCTCTGGCTACTGACATGCTTACGACATTGCGAGCGTCGTCAATTATCTACTTCTGGCCATCGGCACTCTCAAATGTGTACCATGTGGAGAGTGCCCGAAATTATCCCTGCATCTAAAGCATCTAAAGAGAAGATAATGTATGGCCTCTATCAAAATCTTGCAGACATAGAAACACTGAGTGCCTCTAAGGCTCTGAGGAGCCCTTAAGGCGGCGATGGAATTAACCCGAGACCCTAGATCCTAAGAAATCCTTCGGGTGTATCCCTACGATCCCTGTGCAACTCCTAATCCTACGCGATGAGACACACCTCCCAACGCAAATCAAGATCTGGAGGGACCCTCAATGCCCCTCCGAATGCATTCGCCTGATTCGCTGTACCCAAGCAAGGCAAAGCAGCTCGATTTCGCCAGGCTTGGCTTCCTCCAGTTGGGGTATAGAGATTCGGTTTTGCCCGTCCTCTACAAAACGCAAATAGTGCGTCCCGCAAATCACGTTCATGTTCGGGGGTTCCATGTTTGGATAGCTTGGGGGGGTTGGACAATGTACTATTTCGAGCACAGTTGGCAATCGAATTAGCTCTCTTGTTCTGATCATGCCTCAATCCCAAGCTGGGCAAACTGGCTACTCACACTTACATCATCCCGCACCTAGCCACAACCCGCAAAATCTCGTATAGCAGAGCCATCATGCCGATATACTTTCTGCGCAAAGGCATGATCCTGGTACCGCAACGCCCTTCGTCCGCCGCCGCTGAGCCGATCCTCCATGGTTCCTTGATTCAGTGGGAGGTGGTCGGGAACGTGATTGGGTAGTTTTGGAAAAATAAGGGGGAACCCAACATAACACCCCGAAATACCACAGTCCTTCTCATAATTCTGGGAAACCCCATTTTGACATTGCTCACATGTGGGGGCTATAGTTTGATGTGCCAGCCATGAGCGGGTCACAACATTGAACGGAGGTCTTTAGCCAAGTGTGAGATCAAGATCGCATGTCGCCAAGAAACGTAGAAACCTCTGTTGTCGAGTCGAAGAAGAATATTGAAGACCAGTAGCTATGAGATCAGCCATATGCAACACGTGGAAGCACGAGATCCTGACACCTGAATGCATCAGCATCTTGTTGTCAAACAATTAACAATTGCCTTCTCAGCACATAACAGAACGTAATACAAACTCCGAATTGCAACACCCCCATCCCCATCCCCATCAGGATCAAAGCTGGGGGGCAGGGAGGATGCATTGTTCATGTACTAATATTCAGGCTCTGGTCTTCTGCTTGGGGTGCTGCACAAGGGGATTGCTGAGACGCACGACAATCTGAGTGCAAGTGCTGCAGCATTGCTCCGCCATATCCAAAGCGGCAGATGCATTGCCAGCCAAAAGAAGGGCCTGGCAACAGCAACGGCCGAAAGTTTGGGTATGTTGAGGCCGCTACTTGCCACAGCTTCTTCTATCAATGCAACTCCTCCAACTCTAACTCCTCGGTCTTGTGGCTGTAAATGCTTCTCGGGTTGCTCTTTCTGTTCTCCTCTTCTTGCAGTACTACTGTTCCAAACTTGCTGATGGCGACAGCTTAGTGCAAACTATCAAACAACAGAAGCCGAATCAGAGCCACTAGAGCAGTTCAATGAAGCTCAGCACGGTTCATCGACGTCTGATTATGTCTAGCAGGTTCTTGCACCGATCAGCAGCTACGTTCTTACCAAAATCCTAAACCCTAACGCCTAAACCCTAAAGCCTAAACCCTTCAAGCCAAGTCAGGTGTGTTTGGAGAGCTACTCCCAGTGCCTCAGAGTCCTCCAGAAGTTTCAGGTTGACTTCCTGGAGCAAGCAGCTCACTGGTTCTAAGCAAGGAATAAAGAATATGTTAGGGTAATGTACTGGGCATATATCTGCATTATAGCAGGGAATAAGTGGATATAATCGCTAGATCATCTATTCCCATATTCCCTACTAAGCCAGTATCGTCGGTGTGGCATGTGAGATTGGGGGACTTCAGGGGACGTCCCACTCCTCCACAGAAGCATGCGTCCAGTTGCCAAACCTTCAAGCAGAGTCATAGCAAGCGAAGAGTGGAGTCATGGCAGTAATACTTGGGGTCATTCCCCCTTACAGTAACTGTTACCACCATGGGTTATAGGAGTTATAAGAACCCCCTTCATAAGGCCCCTTTAAGGACAGTTACTGGGAGGGGGAATGACCCAAGTAATACTCGTAACAGCAAGAAGATGGTACACTGCAGACAACATAGGGCGGGGCCTCTCGTCTCGGGAGTCGTCGCAGCACCAGCCATCCTGCTTGGGTGTATGCTCTTTCTTTCCTAGACATGTCGGACTTCGCTGTAGGGATAGAGGTGTACAAGAAAGCCCTATGTTAAAAGCCCCCCTATGACAGCCCCACACAACCAAAAATGCCCGTCAGCCTTGCTACACTTCCGGTCCGCCAGCCTGGCTCACCAATGCGCTCGATTGCCCACAGGAACTCGCCTAAGTTCTAGACACTTCCCGTACACAAATCCTAGGTGATTGCAGCCCAACGGACCATAGATATTAACCCTCTATAGGGATAATGGAAAAGCAAATGGCAACTGCAGGGATACTGGAAAAGAAAGTGGAAACTACTATCATGAAGGGTTTGGGGTTGCTTCGGATGGCAGCTTTGAACCCGGCTTGCTGGGGGTGTGACCGCAATCGGTGGACCGCAGATCACGCAGGCTGCGCTGTCTCTGCCCTCACACAACCAGCAGACATCGCTTGAACCTGCAAGTAGCGAGGCCTGTTGGGACCGCATCGACCTTTTCTTACTAGTATTCAGCGAGTTGCATGCAACATGGGCAACCTCAAGCAACATATGTCTGGAAGTGCAGTTTGAAGGCAGCTTCATCTACAAGCCAAGCAAAACTGTAACAGCCTGCTGCGCAAGCCATGAGCGCTGATATGGATGCGATTGTTTGTGCTACTGCCTGGAAGATTCTCTACATCAGCCGTGACGCATGTTCTGAAATGCAGCCATCCAATGCCGTGGAAAGATGTCCCTCAAATTGATGCTGACTGCGCACTCTCGGGATGGAAGTGAAGTTGGCTGACCATGACCATGATGTTCCATCACGCTCTTGTTCTAAAGCCTGGAAAGCCGAACATAGGTGGATACCATGCTTCAAAGCTGGCTTTAAAACATAACAGCACACTGATACAAGCCATTGCCAATGCTCAGTTCACTGAGAACGAAGGCCAGCGGATAATCGAAAGCTCAACGTGCTGCACTGGCACCATCCCCCTTTTGCTGGCAAGCCGGGAAGACCAACCTTTTGCATCTCCTATGCTTACTGGTCCTTCGTCGGGAATAAGGGCATAAAATATTTTCCCTGTATAATCCCTATAGAAAATACATTCCCTTTTTCCCTACTAAGAACCAGTAGTCCTATGCTCTTCGCTGGCACCTGTACAGGCAGCTTTGGCCAGCTGTAAGGAGGCCCCGACTTTGAGTCTACTGAGGGTGCAGAAAGGGATAGGCTGACTCTATAGTATATTGGGGGTTATATTATAATAATGGAAAAGAAAATGGAAACCCTAGGTCCCTTAAAAAGGGTATATAGGGGTTATATAGGGATTATAGGGTACATATTGGGGTTATATTGGGATAATGGAAAAGAAAATGGATATATTGGGGCTAATGGAGAATCAAATGGAAAAGAAAATGGACAATGAAATGGAAACTACTCTGACGGTCTTTCGCACGTCTTGTGCACGTCTGAGGCTTATGACACACACGGGGCATGAACAGCTAATTGAAGCAGTTTTTGCTGACAGAAAAACGTACAAGTAACTGTATATCACACTCATGCTCAGATGTTTCGGTGGCGTCCTGAGTCCCTGAGGCTAGAAAACTGGATACCTACGTCTGGGTACGTTTGCTTGCGATGTCTAACTTACTTACTGGCTCTTAGTAGGGAATAAGAGAATATAATCCCTATATAACGTATTCCCTTCTTCCCTACTAACCCCAAACCCTAAACCCCAAAATATATTCCCTTCTTCCCTACTAACCGCCAGCAAGCTAAGCACCTACATCCGTCTCAGAGAAATGTCGCAGACATGGCAAAGCAACCTGTAGCCTAGTAGCCTTCTATGAAACAGTCGAGCGGGTACAACATAACAGCTTACGGTTTAGGGTTTAGGGTTTAGGGTTTAGGGTTTAGGGTTTAGGGTTGGGAGTTTTGGGATGACATAGGGGTTACATAGGGATTAAAGAAGGTTCTATAGGCTTCTATAAGGATAATGGAAAAGACAATGGCAACTACCACTTAAGGTCATGTACAACATAACATGCGGGAGATTCCAGCATGTCATAGTATAGTGCAGAACATAGTACAAAAATAGAAAAGAACCATATGGCACGATAAACAACTATCCAGCACAGTATGAACCCTAGACCCCAACCCCTAAACCGCGAGCAATTTTCTATGCAGTCTACCCTTGCACCCGCAGCGGGCCCGTTTGGGAGAAACGGTGTTTGCCAGACGCGGTTCAGGCCGCCTTGAAAGCCTCGCACCAGCATTGTACATAACTTTTGGTTAGCTCGAAATGAAGGAATGGAGAAGAAGATGCAAACTAATTTAAGGGGTTAGAAAGGGACTACTATACAGATCCATTCGCTTTGGGCTCTAGGGTCGAGTGTTGGATAGTGTAGGGTCCTAAAGAAATACCAATATTCCTCAATAATGGACAATAAGCTGATGGAAAAGAGCATGGAGAATGGCATGGAAACTGGTTTTATACATGGGTTTATAGGTCCTAGAGTCCTTGCACAGTCATAGTATACGGTATCTTGACAAACCTCAAAATTAAAAAGGTAATTCTTGAAGCCCCTACAGTATAATGCCATTTTTCAGAGGGTCGAAGGTTTAAGGCTTAGGGATCCTCGGGAGCCATAGGGACTCAAGTTCATAGGGTTTAGGGCTTAGGACCCCCTATACCCTCTATGTGTACATCCCCCTGTAGGTGCCCCCCAACCTAACTTTAGTCCGTAGCGAGAATTGTTGGGGGATTATGGGGCTTCCGGGACCGGAGTCATGTGTGTTTTGAATAGTTGAGCCATGTGGGCTAGGGTTTAGGGTTTTGGGGACAAACATATTTGAAAGACTCCCGGATTCAGGTGTTATTGTGCCTGGTTGGGCCTTTAGCTTGGGCATGCTCCCCCTGAGGTCCCCATCAGCCTCGTTGCCAAAGATCATGGACGATGTCTTGGCCTCATTGAACCTTGCATATGATGGTCAGAGCACTTGTTGCAAACAAGCAATCTTCGTTGTCCTTTGGCTTAGGCTCAGGCTTGGACCAAAAGAAAAGAAACGCTCTCTTCATAGGAGCCCAGCAGCCATGTACCAACGTACACCTGCCCAATCCAGTCTTGCAGAACTTCATCGGCCTTCATCTCTTCAAGAACGCGTATGCCGTTGAGGAGGACCTTTATAAAGCTGCACAACATCAGGAAAATGCCCGTAGCGGCTAACCACATGTTTGTACTTGGATACATCAAAGGGCATCCAGGGAAATCCTATGACAGTGAAAGGTTCCTGCATCAATCATGACAGGATCCGCAGGCGCAGGGGGGTTGTGCTGAGATTTTGCAGGAGAACCTTAGAACCAGGGAGTTTCCATGGACACTGCCCTATAGTCTTCATTACATGTACCCCCACTACAGATGCCCAATGTTTGGAAACTACCATAATTTGCGAAGCGTATGCAACCTCCTTGAAATCCAAACTTTCAAGCGGGTGTTGTATAGGGGGCCATAATATAGACCCCCAGCATGCACGGAAACCCTAATCCCTATAAACCACTATACAACCCCAGTTTCCTGTAACCCCAGTCCGTTTCATTTTCCATGTTCTTCTCCATTGCGGGTGTAAACCCTAAACCCTGAACCCTAAACCCTAAACCCATTGTAGGTGTAAAGCCCCTGAACATTATATAAGCCCTCTACAAAGCCTAAACCCCAAACCCGCTGATTTTGGGAAACCCTAAACCATAAGCCAAAGCTCACACCAGGCCACAGGGACTTCAAATCAGGACATCCAATTTTACTGGCCTTGAGGGTAGTGTAATATGGGGGTTAGATAGGGAATAATGGAAAATAAAATGGAATCTATGGGGATTACAGGCCTTGAGGGTAGTGCGCAGGGTGCTCTTCCCACCAACATCTGCAGCGATCCGGGGATCATTCCGATCTTGAATCGTGGCCCACTCCTGGACACATGTAACGAGGTTACTGGAAGAAAGCTTGGGATACAAAAATGAACCCCTATATACTATGTAGTAATTTCCACGTTCTTTTCCGTCATTTCCTAAATAACCTCTAATATAACCCTATATACTATATAGTAGTTTCCATTTTCTTTTCCGTTAGTGCACAGTTCTTGACGGGAATGGGCAGGACCTCAGCCTACTCCCCGTGCAGATCCGGATTGCTTTTCTCAACATTAATGAATGACTTTTCAAGTGACAGGAGACCAAAAGAAAAACATCCTACATCTCCTAAAATCTTGGATCTCCCAGAGAGCCCCTTATGCCGCAAAGCGCTCAAGCTTGTCATAACTCCTTCGTACTGCACATCTTGAGGCAGTTGGGGATGGAGACCACCATGTAGTACATGTTTTCCAGCGCCGTAAGAATGCAGCCCGTCTTCAAAATCTTCTTGTCCAGCAGCGGTCCTCCCATCGAATGGTACGTGTCAATGAACAACTTGAGGTACTCCTGCACAGGTTTGGCAATGTCCTAACCAGCCCTGCGCATCTACTGGTACTGCAGAACCGCACAAGGCTCACGTGAGCTAGTCAATATTTCCCCAGAAAATTCATGGACATTGGACACCGTAGGGGACCCCTATGTCCAGTGCTAAGGGTCCCTTATTGATATTGACAATAGCTCACATGAAAATCGGGAGGGTCATGTCTGGAGGAGAGGTATGTCAAAAACTGATAGCCCCCTGCCATCAGGACTCCGGAAAACAGGAGCCGAATTTTGAAATACAGGTGACTTACTAAACGATTAAAACTTTCCTATGTGCAGATCCCTGGTATTTGTCAGATCCCTGGAAAGTGGCCTTCCTTATTAAGTGGATCCCCCAAACCGTAAATCCTAAACACTACACCCTATACGCTAACCCAAACTGGCGGCCTCTAGGTTCTCAGCAACGAGGTCAAACTCAGCACAGTTGAGCCCCCACCAAATCCGGTGATGTAGCGGGTTGGCACCGAACCCTCGCCAGCTTTGTCAGAAGTTTAAAGAATCTTTTAAAGGAATTATATAGGAATATATGGAGATGCATAGGGATATGTAGGGGGATTTGTAGGGTTTAGGGATGTTATCCCCAATAGTGGAGAATCGGAGGGAAGAGCGGAGGGAAGAGAAATCGTTAAATAAATGGAAACAGGGGGGGATGATGTGTTACTGGCAAACCCAAGCCCGCAACCATGTGGCTCAGATTTTGAAGAGCTCCTCTTCGTTGTATGGACACTCCGACCGTACGAGTATTTCTCATCGTTTATCACCTAGAGGAATCATAGCCCATTTTTTATGGTGAGCCCGAGCAAGCAGCCGTCATTTTGAGCAATGCCTGCGTGCGCGTTACCGTGAGCTGCCAGTTTCCTTTTGACAGTTTCAAAACTTGCGGGCTTCATTTCTGCGAGGGTCTCTCAAAAAAGGATGCCCTTGACCTGTGGCAACCCTTGGCATGTATTTGGGGGGGGTACGGATTACATAGGGAGTATCCGAAGTACCAAGTTGACAGTATGAGTAGTTGCTGACCATCAAGATCACCGACAGGGGACCCTTATTCTCAGACATTCCAAAGCCAGTACATGATCTTCGCTGCGCCCCAGTGCAATCGCTTTAGGACCTAACGGATGCCTCCGAGATCGAATATGCCACAATCAAGAACGTTCTTCTCATCCCGCCAGAAGTAGGCGTTGTCAATGTTCAGGTTCTGATGCCCCAAGGCAACCTCGAAGAAAAGATGATCCAGGCAACAGAACCCAAGATGGGTTTAGGGTTGAGGGGAACAAGGTGTCCAGTAGAAAATGCAAAGCATGGTCAAAAGTTCTAGTACTCCTCTCCCTCGAATATTAACGTCCACCGCCGCTAATAAGAAATATTTCCCCTAATAAAGTGGCTATATTGGGGGTGGAGATTATTCTTGTACTCAGGACCCAAGCCACGTAGTCTGTATCCAGGAGCTTCCAATACATTGTCTCCTTCGCATAGGCGTTGCTGGTCATCATGGTATTAAAGAATTTCTCCTGGAAAGCCTGTGTGGTGACGTAGTCAGGATAAAGCACCTTGCAGGGAACGCTCGCTTCGGGTTTGGGCGTACAAGTTCGCAGCACTATCCCGACAGTAGCGCAGACAGCAGCCGTGCGCGAACATCAAACTACAACAAGTACAAATTGACATTATACAAACGAACATTAAGTTACTGCACAAATGAACCTTGATACCCTACGAAGTACTATGGATACCATACAAGTAAACATTCACACCAGTATTCCAGGGGTATGCTGTACTGAGATTACCACTCTGCAGCTTCACCACTAGATGGGAGGTTCCCAAATTAGGGGTACCTTTTTGGGGTCTCATAGTAAGAGCTCGTATGTTTTGGAGGCTGTATTGGGGTGCCCCTATATATGGAAACTACCAGAACCCTAACTTCCACAACTGGCAGGCTACCATTGCGGGGATCCCCATCATAAGGATTATAATAGTTTGGGGTCTATAGTGGGGCACCCTGTTTTAGCGAAACTACCAACTGAACCCTAAACCAAGGAACCCTAAACCCCAAATCCTAGACCCTACACCCTAAACCCCAAACCCTAGACCGTTGACCCCCTAAACCCGACCATCCTTTGGGAGGACTCAAGGACCTTAAGAGGAGCAAACTGCGTCCAAGAGGTCCGACACGGTCAAAGCTGAACTGATATAGGGGTCCGTTTGTACTGGGAATAAGGAGCCCGAACTTCAATATCCCATGCAATCCCTTTTACAGCACAAGGAGACATCCCCAACAAAAGCTCGTGCCAAGGTGCTTCGGGCCGCGAGACATACAAGTGAAAGAGCAAAGCACTGCTTGGCCTAAAACCCAAAGGCCTCAGAGGCCCCAACCCCTCCATGAAAGCCGGAATCTGAAAGAGGAGCTTGTTCTTCGAACCTTGACTTGTTTCCGAAAAGCCTGTCTGCAGCCTCAAAGCGATGTGCAGCCCGATAGGATATGTCTTGACCCCTGATACTCCGTATGCCAACCCGTAGATCCCTGCATAAAATCCAACGGCCCTGGGGCCTTAGCAGTCTCAGAGAAGAATTTGATAGCCTGCCGCAGTTGGCTCGCAACCATTTGAGGCGGGACGCCTGAAGCCTGGGCTGCGAAATTCTGGAGACCGATCTTCATCAAATGATCATGGTAACCATGTCTCTTATCACTGGCATCATGGCAGTGGCAGCCGTCAACGAAAAAGGAGGAACAACCAGCACCAGCACCAGCACCATCAGCACCAGCAACAGCAGCACCCCGCCGCCGCCGCCGCCGCCGCCACCGCCACCGCCACCGCCACCGCCACCGCCACCGCCACCGCCACCGCCACCGCTGCCACCACCACCACCGCCACCACCACCACCACTACCACCATCTGCCAAACGGCCTTGTTGCTAGCGGTCAGGAGCTTGAGTATCAGAGTTCCTTGGCCACTGGGCCGGGTTCTCGGTGCCGGTACTAAATCTGATGGTAGGATTGAATCTCCTAAGCACTAAACCCTAAGCCTTAAAACCCGAAGCATTAGCAAGCCAGCAGGGCCATGGAGCTTTCTCGGGGTCCATTGGATGGAAGGCAACGTTGTTGAAAGAGAGGTTCCTCATCAGAAACTCTTCGGCGCCCATTTTCCCGGTTTTATGTGCCGCCGCAATGCGAGCATGTACCTGGTAGTCTTGAAAATTACGGTACCTTTTTAAAGGGCCCCCTATATAATACGTCCCCTAATGGACAGGATACTGCAGATACCAAAGAGGGGACAATACTTCCATCCGCCCACCTGCATGAGAAGGCAGTAATGGTCCTTGTCAGTCCCGTTCATCTCGAAGTCTTTGCACTTTACGTAGGGCCCTTCGATTTCAAAGGGCTTCAGAGGTGGCATGCCAGTAAAGGGCACACGCTCAGTGATCAGAATAAAGTTTGAAGACTCATTGCTGATGTCTCCAAAGTAGAACTTCGGAATTTTGATGGGCATGCTGGCTTCAATCAATCGATAGGCATTGATCTCGTAAAAATCCATGGGCTGCTTGTTCACAGAGCTGCTCAAGCGATCGTTGCTGGTCGCACCAGACAGTGGAAATGGGATCTTCGCGAACAGCTTGGTGTGAAGGTCGGGTGTCTGCCATTTGTACCTGTGGTCTTTGCAAAAGCAGATGAATTGTTTTCAGCCCTTCCCCGCATCATCAGCCCCACTGGCGAGGAACAAATCAAATTGATTGCAAACGCGTTCTGCCACAAGAGGTGAGGATATGGGTCTTACTGAGAGGCTTCCTTGCAGGATAAGGTATCACGTGGCTGGCATGCAAAGCTAGCAATGTGTTGCTTCATCTACGAGGATGTGCGGACTGCCAAGGTCCAAAGCGTGTGCAAAGGCTTTATATTCCGCATATATCTCCGTATGACACCGCAGGGGTACCCCCGATGCTGAGAAAGGCGTGTCCAGTGGAACATTCTTGAAAACTATACTGCTATGCTGCCAGCAAGGTAGAGAAATGGGTCGCCCCTTTCTGCAGCCCTTCCTTGCAGGTTGTGGACTTATGCCTGGAATAAATACTGGTCCAATCCATTGCTTCTCCCCCTGCAGCTTTGATCTTAGGATTGGTTTGGTCACTGCTTGATGACAGGATACCCATCACAAAAAAAAAGCTGCACTCATGCATGGGTCTGTTGGTCTAGCAGTAACGCTGGTGATTGGTCCGAATGAATGACCTGCTCAATATCCAGCAGCATCTAAGGACACCCCTCTCCAGTCTTCTCACATGCTTGTCTCAGCCGGCTTCCTTTCAGCACGTCTGTTGCTGTGAAGGGCAGCCAGCATCTTAGACGACGTCCCGCATAGAAGTTTTGTGCAATTTTTTATACTCACATGAACTATACTCTAAACTCCTAGTATCCCCCTTAATAACCCCTATAGTAGGCCCCTATATAATCCCTATATAACCCCCTTTAAGGAGTTTAGACTATGGTTCACATGACAAGCCGCAAGAAGATGCTATCTAGAAAGATTGGACTGCTTCATAGTGGGTCTGGCAGTAGGGCGGCAAGTTGTACGAATGTCCGTGGTTCTTTCATACTGCAATACCAATGTCAACAACTGAGATGCTTGTCTGGCTTGCATGGGCTCATCTTAACAACGCCCTTCCCAACATCACAGACGACCTATGACCACCATCACCTACACATGTGCGCACGTGTTCTCCTTCGGGTAAGGAATTCAACGAGAAATCAGGATACGATGCTGCTGGATAGCAGAAATTTCCCTGAGTTGCGCACCGGACCTCAAAGAGAAACCTTAGCATCGGTGTCGTACAAGGCAAAGTGCTGTATAGTAATTGTTGTCGTATCAACAGCACCAATAACACTGGAGCAATTATAGAATTGTAGAAGATGCACTGGGGTCAAATACACATACCGTTGGCAATGTGTCGCTAATTGGCAGTAATCTGGACCTTGAGCAGCACCCCAGCCTCGACGTGCTCCTTCCCGTCATTGTCATCTCCATCATCATCATCATCATCATCATCATCACTGCCACCACCAGCACCGCCGCCGCCACCGCCGCCACACCACCGCCGCCGCCGCCGCCACCACCAACACCACCAACACCAACACCACCAACACCACAATAATAATCATCCGCGTGCGCCCGCAGCCACCAGCACCACTGAGGGAAGAATAAGCAGGCACAAAAGGAGAAGAATTACAAGACCCACAAACACCAGACAAGAACGATTGCAACAGCATGTATACCAATAGCAGCCAGCGCAATGCAAGTTATGGACGGAGAGGAGAGAGAGAGAGAGAGAGAGAGAGGGAGGGGGAGAGAGAGAGAGAGAAAGAGAGAGAGAGAGGGAGGGGGAGAGCGAGGGAGGAGTAATGAAGCCAGTTCAGAACTTTACAAAAAAACTGCTTCATACTCCGCATGCTAACATGCCGTAATCGTATGTACCATGTGGAACAGAAAGTCATTGATCAGAATGAGCATGGAGTGAATGCATAGCCTTCGTGAGCCACTACCCGAAAACCTTCCCTGCTTACTCACAGACTTTAAGTTTGTACCCTTTTTTTTGTAACCGTAGGTTTTGGGCCTTAAATACCCCAATTAAGGGCCAAATTCCATGGTTTAGGGGCCCCAAATAAGGGGCAAATCCTAAGGGTAGAAAGGAAAACTCCCTGACTGACAGCTGGTCTGGAACGCCGGCACCCACACCTCGACTAATGTAGACCCATGATTAATAGGGTTATATAGCGATAATGGAAAAGAAAATGGAAACTACTATTGAGGGTTTAGGGTAGAAACATTAATATTGGGACCCAAAACCTAAGGTTACAAACATTGAGGACACACACTTAAAGTCTTTGATATATGACGGTTCCCAGAGTTAACAGCGACTTCTTGTCTCCTGTCTGTCAGTAGTAGATTTTTTTTAGTAGATTGAGTTTGGGGTATGTGTAGATGTTATTATAATAGACCCAAAGCCATATCCTACCTACCTAAGGGGGACTATAACCCCAATATATACCCTATGATAAGATAGCAGATTCCATGTTCTTTTCCATTATCCCCAAATAATCCCAAAAACCCTAAACCCTAAACCCAATTTCTATCTACTGAAGGGGGACTATACGGCTTGCATACTCAAGGCGGCACTCCCTCACATGCGTCCAAAAGGATGAAATGGAGAAAGGGGGTCTAAAGGGATCTATAGGCTTATCTAGGGGTATATAGAGTCATAGAGGGATATGTGTGGCTATATAAGGATATATGGGTTTAAATAGGGATATAGGGTGATGGAGGTATATATATATATATATATCAGATGTGGCTCAGCTTTCGATGCGCCTAACTGAGCCGAATAGGGCTTGGGACTTGCGAGGCGTGTTTCATAGCTGAACAACTGTGGGTCCAGTTTCAGGGGAACGAAGATAACACAATCTAAAAAGCCGATGATAATACAACATGATGTGGGTAGTTCCCAAAATTAGGGTCCCATTTTGGTACCCCTAAATATTAGGTGCCGTAATACAATCCACAACAAAAAAGGGGTCCATAATTTTGAGAACAACCCATGTGATAATGCAGCTCCAGAAGCTTGCCGGCATTGTTTCCTGCAGTGACCTGCAAAGACTGTTCTCATGGCAAAATGTACCTCCACAAAGCTCTCCTGACTGTATTCACAGCCCCTGTCTCTTACTTGTAGGACCAAGCTAAAACCCTAAACCCTATTCTTCCCTGTACGCTGTAGAGAGGAAGGGGCGTTATTGCAAGGAAGAAGGGGTTAGAACGGTGTAGTGTACGTAACAGGGAACGGGGAATTTCACAGAGTGTAAGCATGCAAAGCGTGAAAAGGTGACACCCATCTTCAGCAGTCAGGCATCTACATTGCATCTTGCGTTGGTGAGTGTAAAGGGGAGTCGCTCCTTATAACAGCGCCACTGGTGTATGGGGGACATCCCTGAAAATTTCCAGAAACTGCCTGCGGATCCTGTCCCAACTCCATGCCAAATGCTGTGTTGAGTGGGGCTGGGGGTTCAGGGCTTTTTTTATCGGACCTTCTCTCCGAGACACGAATCCCCGGAAATGCTTGCTGCAAGCAAGGCCCCACGCCAGTACGATCATGTACCGCACCACCCGTTGAAAAGACCAAGAACAAATCACAGGAGTTTAGGGTTTATAGTCCCCCTTAAGTAGATAGAATATGGGGTATATGGGGGTCTTATTATCATATACCCAAAGCCATATTCTATCTACTTAAGGGGGACTATAGGGTATAGGGTTGGGGATGAATGCTCCTTCAACTTGCTGCTGGCTAGGAGGGCGGGGAGAAATGGAGCCCAAAAGTAGTCCTTATATGACCCCATCAATTTTCCGGACCTATAGGCATTCCCTTTTCCGCGGGCCACAAGCAAGTCGTTCTGAAGCTCAATAAAACAACCTCTCAGAGGACGGCGAGGAAACAGCAGCTTACTTTGTAGTCTCCGTGAGTTGAAGGGATAAGAAGTCATCATACGGAGGCTGTAGGGTCTTCTGCTGGTTGTGGATCTTTGTCTTGAAGCTCTCTGAAAGCCCTACGGCTGATATCAAAACCTTCTGCCTTGGGAATTGCGGTGCTACAGTGCAGAGAGAATAGGTCAAGCAGGATCCGGAGTACCAACGGTTGAGGGTTTAGGGTCGTTTAGGGTTTAGGATTACAATCCATACATGAGAACCCCTAGTTTCCATTTCATGTTCCCTATTTTTATTCATCTGATTCTCCATTGTTGGGGACACATCTTCAGATAATCCCTATGCGAAATCAAAACATATACCCCATTATAACATGGTAGTTCCCATTTGCTTTTCCATTGTCCCGATACACATAACCCTATGTAAGGTAGCTTGCTGACACCGGAGAGCCTACGCTTCGCCTGCCTTCACCTTCGGCTCCAAGATGATCTCAACCACCTCGTTATTCTCGTCCAAAGTCCCCGCTGCCTGAAAAGCCTGACACGGGCTCTGCAGTAAACCCTAAACCCTGTAGCTCTGGGATTGTAGGATAGGAAACTGAAGGATCACCCCAGGAGCGGCATTCACTTGCAACGGCTGCTGTTCGCTCATCTGCGTCATAGGGTCTTCAAGTCTCCTTGATATCTGTAGTGGAGCCGTCGGGATGCCTCATAATTCCTACGGATCATTTCAAACAAACGACACCACCGGGAAAGAGGTGTTGACGTTGGCGGTGACGGATTCCGACAATGCCCCTGCTGATTCCTTCTGGTTTTGCCGCCTTGACAATCATAGCTGCGACGACTTGTATCACGACAACTCCTGCAACCCCCACATAGGGTTATATAGGGTTATATAGGGTTATATAGGGTCATATAGGGTTATATAGGGTTTAGGGTCTACTTGACGTTGTGTCACTAAGTAGGGTCTACTCGACTGCTTGACTGGCGCCTTGGTGAGCCATTTTGGCCCCATCTTCTCAAGAGTCTCCTCCGACCTGGAGCCAGAAGTATATTAAGCGTGCTTTTCGCGGAAAAGCACAGGGCATGAAATTCAAGTGAGGATGACAAGCCTCATAGCAAAAGGAATGTTGTTGGCATCCTAGAGTCCCGAAGACATACTGAAGAAAATGCCAGTAGGTCCGGGAGCAAGACAGATCATCAAGCTGCAGTAAACATCCTTATAGTATTCAAACATC